CTACTTCCTGTAGTAGGAGGACATTACATTGTCTGGTGACTGAAGCAAGGAATGAGCCTGGGGTTTTTAAAAAATCCAAGCAGCAACTGATTCTCCCTAGAAGCTTAGGAAATTTAATAAAGGTTTATAGGAAGCTGTTTTCCTCAAGGCAATTTGAGACTCACAAAAGGGCTCATTTTCTTTTCTGTCAAGGACATGGAATCCTCAGTAGTGTGAGTTTACCTTTTGGTCTTTGTCAGAGCACAGACATCATTTGCCAGTTATATCTCACTGATATAAAGGAGATACAGCATTTCAGTGAATTTCAGCCTGACATTTTCCTTCTAATTTTGTATGGAAAGGATTGCTACAGATTTCATGTAATGTGATGGCCAGTTGCAAGAAATCTTGCCCTGTGGTGTGTTAAACAAGGCAAAGAATGTGTAACACATTCATATCTTAAAGCTAGCAAATCATATAGTCAGCATCCTACCAATTTGGCAGCAAGTATTTTAGGTCAGTAGGTAGGTAGGTAGGTAGGCCCAACCACTTATTTTCAACAACTGATAACTTCTCACTGGTCCCTTTGTGCCTGTAGCTTCTTTCTTGTCATTTGCCAGTCTCATGTGTGCTCCCTTTCCTTGTCTGAGCCCTTCTACTGCCTAGTTCCCTAATAAATGAGAGTTAATGTCAGGAACTGCCCGGCCTAGAATCAGGAACCTACTCCTCCAAATGCAACTGCAGATGTGACCTTGGGTCAATTACAACTTGTTTCAGAGCTGTTCTCTCAGGAGCAGTTCTCAAAAGAGCTCTCTCAGCCCCACCTACCTCAGAGGATGTCTGTTGTGGGGAGGGGAAGGAGATTGTAAACTGCTCTGAGACTCCTTCAGGTGGTGAAGGGTGGGGTATAAATCCAATATCTTCTCTTCCTCTTTTACATGCTGTTGCTCCCCATGGTTAGCCATTGGCAACCCACTTACAGCATCACATTGGCAACATGTTTCTGAGCTCTAGAATTACTTCACCCACCCAGACTGGCCATTGGTTTGCCATGACCCAGAAGGACTGTAAGGGCTTCCTAGAAAGGCTGGCTCTTTGGACAACTCCAACAACTGGCTCTTGTTATGGTCTAGCACTGACATGAGTGACACACGTTTGACAAAGGGAGCTTTGACTCTTGAAAGCTTATACTCTAAAAGCTTGCTGGTCTCTAAGGTGCTACTGGACTCAAATCTAGCTGTTCTACTACTATTTATTTATTTGATTTATACCCCGCCCTCCGCGCCGCAGCAGGCTCAGGACGGCTTACAAGAATACATAAAAACAATTATGACATAGATAAAACCATCTAAAACCAATTCAAAACATAAAGTGCTAGCTAATTGTAAACTAATACATTAGGGATGGCAGCAGCGGTTGCTTTATTCATCAGTTCTCAATCTTTATCATATATATATATATGACTGGCACAGACTGAAGCGGTGTAGTCGGGCGCCTCTTTAATGATGATGGTGGTGGTGATAGTGGTGGCGACTCCTTAGTTGAAGGCCTGGTGGAAGAACTCTGTCTTGCAGGCCCTACAGAACTGTAACAGGTTCTGCAGGGCCCTGATCTCTTCTGGGAGCTCATTCCACCAGTATGGAGCCGCCACCAAGAATGCCCTGGCCCTGGTTGTTGCCAGACTGACATCTTTAAGGCCTTGGAGGGTCAATCAATTTTGTGAGCCTGAATGCAGTGCTCGCTGGGGTACATATGGGGAAAGGCGGTCCCTCAGGTATGTCAGCCCCTGACCATATAGGGCTTTAAAGAACCAGCACCTTGAAGCGAACTCGGAATGCTATTGGTAGCCAGTGTAATGCCTTTAGGAGAGGCTGGACCTAGGGAGGCCCATCAGAAGCCTGGCCACTGCATTTTGCACTAGCTGCAGCTTCTGAATTTGTGACAAGGGCAGCCCCATTTAGAGAGTATTACAGTAGTCCAGTCTTGAGGCAACCATTGCATGGATCACTGTTGCCAAGTCGTTGCAGTCGAGGGAGGGAACCAACTGCCCAATCAGCCAGAGATAGTAAAAGGCTGACTTGGCAGTGGCTGCTACTTGGACCTCCATTGTTAAGGAGGCATCCAAGAGCACTCCCAAACTCCTAACTTCCAGCGCTGGCACCAACGGCTCCCCATCGAAGGTCGGGAGTGGGATCCCTACCCTCGGACTGCCCTGGCTCAGGCACAGGACCTCCGTCTTTGTCAGATTCAATTTCAGCCGGCTCGGTCTAAGCCAACCAGCCAGGGCTTCTACTGCCCAGCCTAGATCTTCTGGTTTAGAGTCAGACTGGCCGCCCAACAACAGATAGAGCTGGGTGTTGTCTGCATATTGGTGACAACCCAGGCCATGCCTCCGGGCAATCTGGGCAAGGGGGTGCATATAGATGTTGAAAAGCATCGGGAGAGCACTGCCCCTTGAGGCACTCCACAATTCAGTGGGAGCCTTCGGGACATCTGCTCCCCTTGCGCCACCCTTTGTCCCCGACCTTGGAGAAAGGAGGCAAGCCATTGTAAGGCAGACCACTGAACCCCTGTGTCGGCGAGGCGGTGGATCAGTAACTGATGATTGACCATGTCTAACGCTGCCGACTATCCTCTGAAACATTATCATGAGTAACACAGAGAGAAGATGAACAGGGAAAAGGATTCTACTGTGGCCCCTACTTCAGAGAATGTCATATTACCATTCCCTGTGACTTATACCCTATGTCAGTGGGTCACCAAACCTTCAGAGAAATCACAAGAGCTTATTTTGATCACACTTTGGAAAACGTATTTACTACATAATCCATGAGAGGGGGGAAAAGGATCAAAGAGGTACAGCTCATCCTGAGCTAGCAGATTCTCAGTGCTTTCTGAAAACTCATGTTTAATTCAACTAAACTTTTAAAATGTCTAACTGATGGATTGAGTTAGAGAATAGATGTTGGATCCTGGTGGACAGCCATGTTGGTCTGAAGCAGTAGAACAAAGTTTGAGTCCAGTGGCACCTCTAAGACCAACAAAGTTTTATTCAAGGTATGAGCTTTCGTGTGCACGCACAATTCCTCAGATAAAATGAAATGTATAGCCCTTCTTGGTGAGAATTCATATCTAAGGATTGAATGAGCTGGTTTAAGGACCACCTATATTCTGCCTATGTTTTAACCATTTCCCCATTAATGTATACCTATAGTATTATCCCAACTGCTATTTTTTTCCCATCACCACAAGAAAGTAAAACACACAATGTTGTTGTTATTCAGTTGCACAGTCGAGCCCGACTCTTTGTGACCCAATGGACCACATCACACCAGGCCCTCCTGTCTTTAGCTTCATGCTAAAAAAAAAATAAATGAAAGATCTTTGCAGGTATGCAAACATGGGGCTGACTTTGTCGCAGATCCGGAAGCTGCAGTTAGTGCAGAATGCTGTGGCCAGGCTGTTGATGGGTCTCCCTAGATGGGAGCACATCCGGCCTGTGCTGAAAGCGCTGCACTGGCTGCCAATAGTTTTCCGAGTCAGCTTCAAGGTGCTGGTACTTACCTTTAAAGCCCTACATGGCCAGGGTCCTACGTACCTGAGGGACCGCCTTTCCCCATACATACCCTAGAGAGCACTACGGTTTGGGGCCCAACATCGACTAGTGATCCCAGGCCCCAGGGAGGCCAGGCTTGTGGCAACCAGGGACAAGGCCTTCTCAGTGGCTGCTCATACCTGGTGGAACAAACTCCCGGAGGAGATCAGGGCCCTGCGACCTCTCACAGTTCCGCAGGGCCTGTAAGATGGCGCTCTTCTGCCAGGCTTTTATGTAGGGGCCACCGCTGCCACCACCACAAATGGCGTGGGCAACAATGGGGCTAGGGGGGACGGTCCCTGGCAGATCTGCCAGGATACTGCGTGGCGCTGTATACCAACTGGTTGTACACCATAAATAAATAAATAAATAAAATATGCTGCTGACATCACTGCCCAAAGGGCTGTAATGCTGACACCGAAGCGTTTGTCAGCACCATCCACTGCTACATTACAATGCAAAAGGGAGGGCTGTAGGTCAGACTGTAACTCTTCAGCATGAAATAAATGCAGTCCAGGAACAGCTTGCAAATACCATCACTGCAAACGAGGGGTTTACAGTGCAGTCCTAAACACAGTTACAACCTTCTAAGACCATGACTTCAATGGGTTTAGAAGCATATAACTCTACTTAGGACTACACTGTTACTTGTGCCTGAGTAGATATCTGACTTGTTATATCAGTACATTGTTATTTCTACCAGTGTTTATATCTATAATAATAGCAAAAAAGAACCCACCAGAAGCAGGAATCACTAATTGGCAGGTGTTAGGATGCGGGGCATACATTCTGGGGTTATCACCATAACAACACCTAGTTCAGATGTTCCATGCTGCATCTGTTGGAAATACAGAAGCTGCAGGCCCCACATGCTTATTGGTTTGCACAGACTGCTACAGATCAGCAGGGGCATAATTTGACAGGAGCAGCACTGTGTGAATCAGAATCTCTTGCCAGATTTGGTCACTGTATGGCAGTGATGGTGGGTAAGTGCACACATTCCACTGTCACCTGCTGCTCAGCTGTCGTGGCAGGGTTGCCAGCTCTGGGTTGGGAAATTCCTGAAGATTTAGGGGAGGAGCCTGGAGAGGACAGGATTTAGGGAGGGACTTCAGGAGGCTATAGTGACATACAGCCCACACTCCAAAGCAGCCATTTTCCCCAGGGGAACTGATCTGTGCAGTCTGGAGATAAATTGTAATTCCAGGGGATCCCAGGCCCCACCTGTAGGTTGGTAATCCTGTGTGGTGGGCAGAAATTTATACAAGGGTTAGGCTGTTACAATGAGTGTTATCGCAAGGTTGATATCTAAATTAATTTAGCAGATTTTCTGAATACTAGGAAATAGGAAGTTATACCTTTGCAGTTACCTAGGAGTATTTAGTAATTCGAAAATATAAAACAGTAATACCTGAAAAGTGCCAAGAAGAAAATCCAGATTTATTATTCTACAGTATGAGCTCCCAGTATCCTTAAAGAAATACACAGATTTGTGTCTTTGCATGTGGAAAAGTACTGGATTTGGGTTAGGCTAAGAAAATTACATTTTTTTCCTTCTATTCTCAGTTTCTCACCAGATGTGAATGTCCATGTGATGAATTTTAATGCTAGGACAAAAAAGAACACTTCCTGAAGCCAAGCACAAAGTTATAATGCAATACATCACAAAACTGACCTAGAGCACTTGAAAAAGCAAATTGTATATATGCGAGATGGGACTGAATTTGTGACATAAAACCCTACTATGGAGTAAACTGAGTCCCCCCATGGAATTTTAATTTCAGCAGACTAGCATGCAGCTGTGGATGCATTTCCTGAAACACCTCAAATCCTTTCTCAAATGACATGAGACTCAGATGTCCATTGTGGAAACAAGGTGTTCATGTAACTATAATTTGTGAGAACATCCTACTCCTCCTACAAGGATAATGAGTCACCCTTAGCCATCAATACCATTCCTCCTACTTTGAAGCAGGACCCTTGAAAATCCATTAAACTAAATGGCTTTTCTGCATCATCAAAGTCATATGACAATTATTATGATCAAGGTTCTGATACCAATTCTGTGATTCTGTGGTTGTGTTGTCTGGGAAATGTATCCACCATGAGAATCCTAGTTATATCATAGTTAGATGGGTGCCTTTCAGATTTGACAGGTCCACTCTCGTTTCTCCATTTTCTCCAGTGGATACCAAGAGGTTGCTAAGTTGCTTTATGAAATCTATGATACTGGCTATGATACCTAAAACTACACAGAGAGTGTGCAGCTTGAACTTGAAAAAGGAACACTCTTATCCACGGTTCCATTGGGATGATACCAGCACAAGGACAGGTCATGGCTTGTTTTAGAGCCCAATACTGTCTTATGTTCCTTTTTGAGCATTCCAAATGTAGTATGTATGCTATCATTTAAATATTACATACAAGTTTAACAAATAACTTAATTGGTATAAGTATACAAATGGAAAAACCATGTGGCATCTTATATTAAATACTATTTCCTCAAGCAATTTGGACAAAGAGTAACTACAGACAATTAGAAAAGCTATCTCAAAGTGCTACTGATGACGGATTAGAGATACACTATATTTTCTTCAATCCCTCCATTTTCTGAATCTTGTTGCATGTCACAAGACAGATTTTTCATCACAACATCTGAAGGCTGGAGTGGTTGAATACTGCCATGATGTGATGATCTTGGGCATTGGCTCAGCACTGCATTCAGGCCTATAACATATAAACAAAGACAGATTAAAAACTGTAGCTCCACTTATCACCTATGCACATCAAATAATATAGCTAGTAAGAATGAAGGATTCTATAGTCATTAAAACCAACCCACTTTTAGAAAGAGGACAATAGCACACACCATACTATTCTTATATGAACTTTTTAAAAAATCATTATTTTTCAGAATCAGGGTTTGAGATGGGCATAAATATCTGTATTTGGGGGTATATGGGTCCACTGATACAGTTTTGAGATTCAGGTTTGTGGGGGTTTTCCTGGGATTCTGGAATTATTCACATTCTGTTATTCCCTATGGTGTACTTAAGGGAGAGGCAGGAGTGGCTTTTTTTCAATCAAATGACACAAAATTTGTGGGGGATCTAGTGCTGCTTTTCCAGTAATAACACTTCCCAAGTTTCAAGCAAATTAGACAGAGGGGTCCAATTCCATGGCCACTGAACAAGGTGCCCCCAGCCACCCTACTTGCTTCCATTGATTCCTACCGGGGGGGGGGGGGTCAAAAAAGCCAATAGCTGAACACAATAGAGAAACCACTGGCCTCCAAATGCAAACAGAACCAACAAGCCCAATGTCAAACCAGAGAATCCAAGCCCAATGTGGCATGCCCAAGAGAACCAATACCAAACCAGAGAATCCAAGACAAACTAACCTTGTTTTTTTAAAAAAATTACTTAAACCCTCACCTACACTAAACTGTTATCAAAACCTAACCAGAAATTTTCTTTAGAATCTGCTGCAACAATTATTTTTTAAAAAATCTACAGGACCACTCCAAAATTCCACAATACCACTTCCCTCGAAACAACATGATGAAGTACAAACGCCTTTAAAAATCTTTGCAAAACATAGATAATGTAAAGCAATTTTAAAACAACCCAACAAAACAGCACAACCCCCCCCCCCCAAGAAAAACTATTTCAAAAAGAACTAGCAGTCAGAGAGCCATGGAGGGACTGGGCAGAGAGTTTGTGCTCCCCCTAAGGTCTAATCCAATTGCCTGGGAATGCTGCCTCCCCACTCCTCCTGTTGAAGAAAACTGGAAGAAAAAAATAAAGAAAAACTGCTATGGGAACCTAAAAATGGCAGCTATGAATATTCCTAGGTATACCCAAATATTTCAGGTTTTTTAAAGGCCAGCTAATTGCTGTACTGAAAAATCCCAAATACCTTTCGAATGCCCAAATACCATAAGTTTTTTTTAGGTATATTTTCAGACCAGATATACCTGAGTGCACATTCCTACTTTGGTTTACTACTCTATACTATAATATACTGCTATATTAAATTTGTTTTACTCTAAATTTGTTGTACTGCTTTAGACCAACACAGCTAACCAACTGGATCTATACTGCTATATTGTTATTTTAATTTTAAGCCACCTCAAGCAAGATTCTGAAGAAACAGCACAAAAATGTTCTAAATAAATAAATAAATAAATACTCTGGTATATCAAACTTCCTTCCAAAGAGGCTTGGAAGAAACTCTTTTATCAGAGGAAGGCTCCTGGGGTGGGATGAAAGTTTAAAATATGACTGAGGGGAGTTGTAGGATACATCTCAATATTCCTACTTTAAGGTTGCAAGCCTAAGGCCACTTTCCTCGGAGTAAGCTCCCTTGAATAACACAGGATTTACTTCTGAGTGTACCTCCATAGGATTGCTCCTAAAATGAACAAACCCACTGGGTTTGATCCTACCATTTCTTTTTCTTTGATTTTGCCCAACTGGAATTTGCAATCCCACAAAGAGCAGTAAAGTACAAAGATGTGTTTTCAAGTGTGGCTGTGTCTTATATGAACTTCGATCACTGCATAGATTTAAACAATCACAACTACATATGCACTAATATTTGGGAAGCCAAAATAAGTTGCATTCTGTTGTTGTTCATTCAGTGAACAAAGCAGTAGTAAATAAATCAAGTAAATCAGTTACTATCATGTCAGGGCAAAATAAATCTTGAAATTACTGAAAATAGAAATAATATGAATATGGCTATAAATAAATATATCTGGATTGTCCTAGGCATATATAAGTCTCATTTTCAAAATACTACTCTTTCTAGAATTTCTAGGCTCTGAAGTCCTAACAATGCCAAGAGAGCCAGTTGCCCAGAAAAATACTGGACATTTTGACAGCCACAGAGACAGATCTGGAAGCAGCATATACAATACAGTACATAACAAAATACATGGATTCAATGGATACAAAATACATGGCCTTATATGCCAATAGACCATTGGTCCATCAAGGTCAGTGCTGTCTACTCTGACTAGCAGCAGCTCTTCAAGGTCTAAGGCAGAGGTGTTTCACATCACTATCTGATCCTTTTAACTGAAAATGCCAGGCACTGAACCTGGGATCTTCGGCGTGCAAAAAAGATGGTCTACCACTGAGCCACAACCCCTCTTCACCCACAGTTTTGAAACATGGTCATTTTAATTGACACTGATCTTTCCAGCACTAAATGGAAAACTTTGCATGCCCTTTTTGTTTCTTTTTTATATATATATTTTGTGAGCATTTTCGTTTGCCCCATTTTCCTTGCTGATGTTCTGTCTGTTTGCTTCTTTCATGACATTTATACACCATTATAAAGCAATCAATGCATGACTGAGCAGTCATTTTAATAATAGTAAAAATTTATTAAATTTGAGAATGTTCAGGAAAAAGACAACTGCCGTTTCATCCCAAGTGAAGCAAACCCATGTTAGAAACTTGGATTTTCAAACCTAAGCAGTGTCTTAATAGAATTTGGTGACTTCTCTGCATGAGAATTCTGTGTGAGAATTCTATATGGATTCAGAATATTAATTTCCAAGTAACAGGTAAGTGACAGAAATAATTACTGAGAAACTATCAACGTACTCTTTTAAGAAGACACACAGTACCACATTTTGCACTAGGATCTAGTTCACTGATGCTAAGTCACTGTTAAGGCTAACTGTGGTTAATTAACTTTGGATGCTTGACAGACCCTAACTAACCTTAATTAGTGAAGGGATCCACTTTAGAATAATTAAACTAGATCCAGTTAGTTTCATTAAACCATAATTTGTGTTCATGCCTGAAATGGAGCAAGTGTGAATAATCTGTGCATTTCCCAAAATGAAATATGCTTATAATTTCTCACATCACCTTGATACTTGGCTATTTGGCTTTTAGGTGTCAGATCCAAGTTGATTCTTGAATGGCCAATGAAATCTTCATTGGCTGAGTTCTTCTGGCTGTTCAGATCTTCAGTGCGACTGCCTGTGGAAAAAGACAACGCTGCTTTTAGCTGACAGACATTTTCTTAAACTCTTATTTTAAAAATATAGGAACAGCAATGCAATCAATGTCCAAAGAAATACAACAATGTTATAATATTTCAGTAATGTGTACTTGAGGTTTAATTTTAGGTCATCTTAATAAACTTGTGCAGAAATTGTTTCCCTTTTTCGACTCTGCTAATATGGCCATGTTGATCTGCACTTCTTTAACTTTGAGACTAGACTACTGCAATACTTGCTACATGAGAAGCCCTTGAAGATTATACAGAAGAAGCAATTAGTACAGAACACTGCTCTTTGTCTACTAACCAGAGTCCAGAGATGTAGTCATGTTACTCTGATTTGAAGTTGACTGGAGTAACTCCTCATGGAATTGGTTACCTATATGCTTCTGGGTCCAACTCAAGTTGTTGGTTATTACCTCTTAAAACCTTAAGTGCCCTGGAACCCACATATCTGAAGAGCCATCTCCCTAGTATGAACCTGTGCACTAGCTCAGATCCATGCAGAGCTCCTACCTGACTGGCTGCTCCCTCAGGTCTATTTGATCTGCCATGTCTTGAATGCAGCCATTTTAAGCACAGCACCAGCCTTCTTGAATGGCTTCCCTGAGGAGTCAGGAAGGTGCCCATGTTGGCTCATTTCATTTCTGGAGGTTGTGAAAGACTGCCTTATTTATAAGGACTATTGAGAACAAGCAATATCTGTCATGAAAGGAGTTCTATTTGGTTGTTCTTCTGAGTGTTCTAAGCTGCTTTGAGCCACTGTTAATAGTATGAAGAAAGGGACATTAGTATAATTATCATCTCCAGAAGAAAGCTTTGTACTCCCCACCTATTGGCAATATGAGCTGAGGAGCAGAGTGAAGGCACTTCCTTGGTGCTGGGCAGCATTCATCTGGACCCAAGGCGCTGTACAGCATGGGGGGGGTTGGGGGGGCTCAGCACCTCTCAGCACAATTCTGTGCACAAAATTAATACAGTGCAAAAGAAAACAGTTGTTCATGCCACTCTTAATTTTTTTGAAATGGTGTTTGCCATTTCTCACCAAAAAAGGGATCTCTGAGGGGCTGTACTCTGAGAGTATTTATTTATTTAAAAAGTTTTTACACCAATGTTTCAACTGAACAGGGTCTCCAAGGTGGCAAACATGGAAAATAAAAACATGTGAACAATTAAAAATAACATTAAAAAAAAAATCATCCCCCTGGGGGGAGGTTTTTATTGGGGGGTTTTCAGACTACAAAAATACAACAGAAAATAGAGGAAAGGGAAGTACATCTAGGGAATAAAGAAAAAAGACCCACAACTAACTAAAAACCCAAGAGTAGGAGATCATACATCAGCTTAACACCATGCTATTTTCAAAAGGCTAGTAATAATACAATGAACTTAGTCAGTTATGCTAGATTAATTATTGTTTAACCATCCCTTTAACTGTTTAAAGAAATTCCCAGAGCATCCCCAAGTTATTTCAACATTTTTTCAGGCACAAATCAGAGTCCTTCAGCCTTTATTTATTCTTATCTTTTCTAATCCTGTTTATAAGGGCTTTTGGGGGCAGCCGCTTCCTTTTCGAAAGGGGAGTCCTCATCCAAAGACCCCGAGCCCAACTCGCCATCAGATTTGCTTTCTTTTTCCTCCTCTTTGCCCTCTTCTGGTTCCCCAAGCTGTGTCTGCAGAAATTCACATGCTTTAAAAACAAAGTAAATCTTTTCTTTTTTATCATTAATCTTGAAAATGATGCCTTCTGGGGTTAACCACCTGTAACTGATACCATTTGTTTGTAAGAAAAGGATTAATTCTTTATAGTTCTTTATCTTCTGTCTTATATCAAATGGAATATCTTTTAAAATCCTGATATTATAGCCCCCAATTTTCAAGGGTGTTCCCGAATTTGATTTCAAAATAGCATCTCTCACGTCTCTTCGAGAATCTGACCACTATTTCCCCAGGCAGATTATTTTTCTTGATGTACGATGAATAGGACCTGTAGACCACATCCATCTCGCTGCAAAGGTATTCCGCTGTTAAATCTGTCATTGGGGCTATTGCTTCACTCAGCCGTTTCTTCAGATTCTCTCCTTCAATTTCCGGGACCCCTTGGAACCGTAGGACCAAATTTGCTTTATCCATTTGTAGCTGTAAAAGCTTTGACTCTTCTGTACCTTGCTTCATTTCCAGCTTTTGCACCTTTTTCTTAACTTTTTTAGTAGTGACGTCCATTTCCTTCACCTTCTCTCCCATTTGCTTTTAAGGATTGAGTCAGTTGCATCTGCTGCGCTGCGACACTCTGCCCAATTACTGACAGTTGTTGTTTAATGCCAGTGATCTCATCCAGCAGGGGATGCAGGGAGTCAGCCAAGAGTTTTGAGAGCTC